ACAAAGACACTGTGTTGGGAGATTATGCCATTCCCAAAGGAGTAAGTGGTTTATATGCCATACACCTGACATGAGCAGATTATGTTCATTTACATTTGACACAGGTCTGGAGGAGGCATGTTGGGGGGAGTGAATACACCATGTACAGTACAAAGTCCAGATGGAAAGGTTTTAAGCCACCCGGATGACTGAGACGGCAACAAAAAGAGAGAGGAAAAAAAAAAAACAATCTTTACCAAGCACATTGGTAGTTTTTATTTTATCTACAGTACAGCTCATTGGGGTCATAGGTGAGCTGGAGCCACAGTTTTTCCAGTCACACCAACGGACAATTTTGAGTCTTCAATGACTGTAAACGGTTCATTCAAATTCCACACCGGAAGGCCAGAGCAGAAATTCAAATCCAGAACGTCAACAACAAAACAAACCAAAAAAAACCCCAAACAAAAAAAAACCCAATAAATTACTTTGATTCTCCCATCAGATTTTTTTTTTATACTGAGTGTGGCCCCAAGAGAACTTTCTGTAAACAGAAATTAATGACACTGACCCACGGACACTTCATTAAGTACACTAATACTTGTTAGTTAGTTAGTTTGTTTGTTTGTTTTTTGAGAATGATACGAAAGGGCGGGTTCCGGGTTTGAATTGAGTCTGCTTGTGTGAGGTTTCTCCGAGCATTCTGACTTGGTTCCAGCATTCAAAACAGTTATGCTCAGTCAATTGGAGAATCTAAATTGTTTCATTGTATGAATGTGAATTATTCTTTTTGTCTATATGCCCTGATGGGTAACCAGTCCAATGAGGACAAATGCTATAGAAAACTCTGTCTCTGCCCTCCAGACAGTTCTGATGATCAACAGCCACGCCATTGGCGCCAACGAGGAGTACTTCAACGACGGCAAGGTCTTCAAGCCCGAGCGTTGGCTTCGTGAGAACAGCACCATCAACCCCTTTGCCCACGTCCCCTTCGGCATCGGCAAGAGGATGTGTATCGGCAGGCGGCTGGCCGAACTGCAGCTCCAGCTGGCGCTGTGTTGGGTGAGGCGCTCACGTTCAGATCAGTAAAAAGCAGACCAAGCAGTACAAATACAAAAGTGAACGTTTCACTTTGCTGGCCGCCACTCGTGGTACCGAGTGCATCATAGCTCCACTTGAGCAATGTTACACAGTGATTCCCAGCCGCTGTGCCATGAGATCATCAAAAAATTATCCAATTTAACTTTATAATAGAGACCAACCACTGCCACAAATAGCGAAAATCCACGAGTGAGTCACACCACCCCCCAAAAAAGTTTGTAAATGCATATAGACGGTACAAGTGGGCGGCAAAGCGCTTTTTGTTTATTAGACAAAGCTATGGCCTGACTAAATAAAGCACTTACACACACTAAAACAAACTGCAGTTGCTTGCCACAAAGATGCCAGCAGATGGTGCAAAAGCAATATTTTTATCTGAGCTGTGGCTTTGACCTGAGCACAACAACAGTGAATTGGTACTGTCGTTGGGCTCATGCTCTGTGCGAAGTACATTTCAGAGCACATTATTAGGAACTTCAGGACACATGATACAACAAAAATGTATTTAAATGACTCACAGGATGACTACAACAAAGTAAAACCACTCACTTCTTGACGGTATAGTGCAAAAAAGTAAATCTACTCATCCTTTGACTGTTTAATGGCCCAGTAAAATGATTCACTGACTGTGAAAATACATCAGTGTATCTTAATGGAACATTTCAGAGCACATTATTAACAAACTGAGTCATTTATCAAATTTGACCAGAAATGGACAACTCCATAAATAGAAAAAGGCTAGTACATAATAAATAAATATGCCACTTATATGTCTGCATTTAGAGCACTGAGGAGAAGCATAGGTGCAGGTATAAAAGTGAATAAAACAGCCGTTTAAAAAAGAAATAAAAAAGCGTACACAGAGTACAAAGTTGTAGTATAGAGTTGGAGGCATATTCAGACTTTTGCTGTCAGTTCATTCGGTGGCATACAATGAAAACTAGCTGACAATACCAAAGTCAACCTAACTGCTCGGTAACTTAGGACAACTTGTTTTGGTCTCCAGGGACGTATTCACTGACTCATTCTCTTTCCCGTCAGCTGGTCCGAGATTACGAGATAGTGGCAACGGACGAGGAGCGGCTTGACGTGATCCACTCTGGATTGTTGATTCCCAGCAGAGAACTACCAGTCGCCTTCATCAAGAGATGAGGTGAGAAAGGAACACTTGATAGGACAGCATTAGCCTGGCTGTTGTGTACAAGGTGAAACTATTTGTGGTTTGGGTGGCACCACTAACAGACCTTACCTACATTAAACCAATTACTACTTTCCTATTAAATCAAATTGGACTGTCAGTATGTATGTACCCTGCTTCATCCGTAACTTCTTATTCCTCTTCCAGGCGCTGTATTCCTTCAATGGAAAGATGGTACCTCTGTTGGTCCACTGACTCCCTGTATTGCTGCTCTGTAAATAGAAAGACACAAAATTGAGAACCATGTAATCACACCATAAATACCTCAAATTTATTTAAACGTATTACTCAAGACTGTTGATGGCTAAAGTAGCAGTTATTGTGTACAAATTAAGCGTAGGCAGCTCTCTTTAACTCTATTAACGTCCTATATGTATTTGTTGTGCCCATGTTTATTTCCATTGTGTATATAAAGTGCAATTACAAGGTTCACTGTTTTATGTATGACCTATTTTATTTTGCGGAAATAAAACCATGAATAAATACACCATAGTTTTCTTGTGCTTTTCAAACGGACAAACTTGTCCGGGTATTTAAGACATTATGTGTCCATTTTCATGCAGTAAAAAAACTGCAAAGCACGAGGATGTGTTTTACTTCTGAGAGATGCACACTGAAATAAGCACATGAAACAATGAAAAATAAAACAGTTTCTGGTAATTATGATAGCAATTACATATTGTAACTCGAATATATATTGTAACTACATGACACAATTAAGTGGCTTATTAGGGCATCTTTGAGTGGTTGTGTGTGTGAGGCAAGCAAACGGTGAGCAGAAAGGTCCAAGAAATGCAAGTACAGTATCTTTACTGCTGTACTTACAGCAAGGGGAAAACTGTGTTTCATAAATCTGAGTTTTACTTTTTGAAGTGAATCACCGAAATGAACATTTCCACATTAGTCTGATTTGCAATACATACCGTACGTTAAGATATATGATGACGCCCTGTGTTTGACCATATGACACTCCAATGCAACAAAACCCTGAAGATGACGAAACACCATATACGATTGGACATTGTTTGAATTACTTGCCACGATTAGGATTAAACACATCTAAGTGAGTCTGTCATAATAACCAAAAGCCTGTTTGAAAGGCTACTTGACCAACCAGACGTGTAATGCATGGAATTTAGGTTGACTGTAATGCAGCATGTGTGTATATACTGTATGCTAATCTTCAGCCAAAGTCTGACATCAGGAAAATAATGCCATACAATCATAATTCTACAGGAGATTTGAATGCTTAGTTTAAGAAGGGGCATTCAGAGTAGCTTATGTTATAAGACATATTGTAAAAATACAAAATTGCAGGGGTTTAAGTATCAGTGATTGTGGAGGGTGAAGGTTTCACATAAGTCTCATGTCTGGTATTTAAATGCAATAACTCAGTTTTCAACACAGGCTTAATAAATCCATCCATCCATCCATTATCTGAACCGCTTTAACTCACGAGGGTGCTGGAGCTTATCCCAGCTGTTTTCGGCAGTAGGCGGGGTCCACCATGAACTGGTTGCCAGCCAATCGCGGGGCACACATTGACGAAGAACCATTCACGTTCACAATCACACCTATGGACAATTTATAGTGTTCTATGAACGTGCCATGTATGTTTTTGGAATGTGGGTTGAAACCGGAGTACCCGGAGAAAACCCACGCAGGCATGGCGAAAACATGCAAACTCCACACAAAAATTGAAACCTGCACCTCCGCACTGTGAGGCGGACGTGCTAACTTGTTGGTCACCGTGCCGTCCCTTAATAAATCCAAATTCACATATGAATAGATATGAATATGGAATGGACTAGAAAAAAAGTCGAAGATGTTTCATATCGGTTCATAGTAAGTAATGCTGTAAGTACAAGTTGTGAAAGTACTTTTATGCTTCAGTATTTGAGAACCTTTACATGTTCCACAACAGGTAACATTTGCATACATACTTATTTGCATAATACTGCAAATCGTTTTACATTATCACTTGAAGAGGATTTAAAGACATTCGAAGATGATAAACCTCATGTCATGTAACATCACATAATGCTGAAACATGGTAGTGATTTTTTCTCAAATGTAGTAACTGATGGCTCACATCCTCAAAATACACTCACTGTATTAATCATAGCCACTGATGGTGTAGCCACTGCACTGTAGTGCGACACTCGCCTAACTTGTGAGCGGGCAACATGGGACCGGTTCCCACTCAGAGACAGCGTGGATGTGGGTGTGAATGCCTGTTTGTCTCTATCTGTACACTGCGACTCACTGGTGAACGGTTCAGGGTGGAGTCTGCCTTCCGCCCAAAGTCACCTAGGCTAAGCACCCCCAGCAATCATATTCAAGTTTGGCGGTGTTGAAATGGATGGATGTAATAATCATAAAATTGGAAATTATCTTTTGTAGCGCACACAAGTTCACCTAATTAAAACTAACACCACTGTGCAATTACATTGTTACTTGGTAAGTATTCAGCACAGCCACTTGAAAACAATAGAGTGTAACGTGGGAAGAAGTTGTGCAATGCTGTCCTCTAGGGCTCAAAAAATAATCGCTACTGGATGAACTTTTTTTAAATAAAAAATCATTTAAGATTCAATTTAATTTTAACAAGCTCATTCAAGATCTCATTCTAGGAAATCAAAACAGTCAAAATGAATAGGACACACACGCACGCACGCACACTCACGGACGCTACCGGCGCGCGCACACGCGCGCGCACACACACACCCTAAGCATTGGCAGGAAGTTTGCTGTGTGAGTCAAGCACCTCCGCAAAACTACAAAACATATTACACATTATTGACACTTGTCGTCGGGACTTTATTAGTACAGTACTTGGAAATAATATCATCAGAAATACATCAGAGGGCGGACATGGCAACTGACATCTGTCAGGAAGAGTTGGACTTTTCAGATTTGTTTCTCTATAATCCACCTGGTGAGGATTTTTCTGCTGGCTATATCCCAGGTGAGCATTCATTAAATTTCATACTACATACCAAAATTAGTGCAGATACATATTGATTAACCGCTACAATTAATATTAATAGCTTGTGTGTGGATATATGTTCTATTAGTGTGTATGTAGGCTATGTTTTTAAAATTAGAGAAGTACCTGTATTTCACCTCACCTACTCCCCTATATTCTCATCAAATAGAATAATAAAAATTTGAATCGTATTTCATGAATTTAGGATTGGTGTGGGGACTTTGTTGGACACATCTAATTCACAGCATTGCACATAAACACACACACACACACACACACACACACACACACACACACATTGCTGTCTGCGAGGGGTGCATTCAATTTCGCTGAGTTCTGATGGTATCATTTAGAAGCATTAACCTCCTATAATAACGGCACCAGAAGTCTGCAGACCAGGAAGCAGACTGCTAGCTAACAGTCATAGTGTAAATATGCCACTTCTTGATTTTCATTAACAGTTCAGCATTTGTGAAGGTCTCAATGTATTGTAGATTATGTGATCATTATATCAGCTGTTACAAATCTGAGGTGGCTAAAGCAGAGGAAACCTGTTCCGATTTTTAATATCTTGGCTTCATGTACAAGGCTAATGGTTAGTTTATCTGGTAACTACACAACCAGTTACCCCTCTATTTGTGTCTAGCAATAGCATGAGCTTCAGTTCAGCGTTGAATTGACTATCTTTCCAACTAATGTCACAATCACAGTTTCCGTGGCTCGGCGCAACTCAGTTTTAAAGATTTGCCATCGTAAATATTTCACAGGTACAAATAGCATTAACGGGCGGCCCAGTGGTCCAGTGGTTAGCACGTCAACCTCACAGTACAGAGGTGCAGGATTCGATTCCGGCTCCAGCCTCTCTGTGTGGAGTTTGCATGTTCTCCTCGGGCCTGCGTGGGTTTTCTCCGGGTACTCCGGTTTCGTCCCACATTCCAAAAATATGCATGACAGGTTAATGGGACACACTAAATTGTCCCTAGGTATGAGTGTGAGCGCAGATGGTTGTTCAGCTCCGTGTGCCCTGCGATTGGCTGGGAACCTGTTCAGGGTGTCCCCATCCTACTGCCCAAAGACAGCTGGGATAGGCTCCAGCACCACCCGCAACCATTGTGAGGGTAAAGCGGAACAGAAAATGGATGGAAATAACAATAACGATTGTCGGCCCTGACAGTTTTGCAAGCAGATCGGGGACTCTTGACTCACCCCACACCACAGGATAATCGGTCAGGATAAACTTCTAGGGACATCTAATAATCTGGCTTCAGCTAACTTTGATCACAAGGGGAGGCCCGGTTTACCCCACTTAAAACATACAGTACTTTATTTTATTTACTAAAATAGCTTTAGTTGTTCAATAATAAAATCTGAAGGCAAATGAGTATCACTGGTTATGTTGACAGATGATGCCGATCAGTCCGCCCTGCTGGAGGTCAACCATCACACCGGATTTAATAGCCCAGCTGATGGAAGCTCAGCAGAGATCGTGTTCGACTCCATGGGCCTGGCAACAATACAAGGGATCATCCCAGCTCCCAGTCCAAGGATTGAGATCACTCCGTCGGGGGACACTCTCACCCCTCAAGCCTTACAGCAGAGCCCTGGCTCCAAAGCCCTTGGAGCCTACCGGGAGTGTGCAAGCCCTGCTAGTAGCAACTCCTCCACAGGCTGGCCAGCAGATGGGTGCTCTCCCTCAGCCTCTCCATGCATCTCCCCTTCCAACAAAGGCACATCTGCCACGGATTTGTCCACCATAGATCTCTGCCCCATTCTCCACAGTTTCCAAACATCTTCCACCCACTCCTCTCCAGGTAATAGCTTCAGCAATGAGCTCCTCCTCCTGTCCCAGCATCAAGTCACCCCCTCACCACTCGTCCACCGACGCTGCCGCTCAGCGTCGCCACAGGGCAAGCGCACCCACGACCAGACCCTGCCTTATCCAGGGGCCACTCCTGTCAAACAACACTCTCGGAGCCCTAGCCCCATTACCTCACCCTCCAAACTGCTGGGCTCCTACCCACTTCACCAGAGCCGGGTTCCAGGTGAGCACCAGACTCAGGCTCAGGCCTCTGGGCTTTGCCCAGGAGACAAGGTGAGCAGCCTCATCTTAACTCAAGATGTGGTGCAAGGGACAAATGTGCCAAATCCAAGGCCAGATTGCTTGTACAGCGAAGGTCACGAGCTGCAGAGGGTTGGCAGGGTAGGAGCTGAAGTCAGGCCCGGAGGTTTCTGTGTACTCCCAACTCCATGGCCTCATCATCCAGTCCACTTTGGAGCATTTGGGTGTGTTACGTTTCTATCTCAAATTTAAAGAATATCAAGTATCTCTTTTCTTATTTCTCCTTTCCTCTTAAGAGGTATTTCCTTGGTACCTCTACCACCTCTCGAGAGGTCATTGCCCAGTCAGTCAAGTCAGTATGAGCTGGTGATCACATCCCAGCCAAGGTCTCACCACAGGGCTCACTACGAGACCGAGGGAAGCCGCGGACCTGTCAAGACACCAAATGGCGGACACCCTGAAGTCCAGGTACTTGATTTGACCCCTTGAAAATCTTTGTGATGTTTGATGCTTGAGCATCAAGCAACTAAGACGGAAAAAATATCACTCTCACTTCTTGTCTCTGCCATCCGTTGATTAGAAATAAGCAGAAGCGAGATTGTGCAAACACAAGAGCAGTTCCTGCAAAACACGGTGTCTTTGTAAGACAGACAGCCATGCAAATTCAAATTATCCATAGTCCCACAAAGTCCATGATCATGATATGCCTGTTGAAGCTGGTTGTAAACACACTAGCAGGTAGGTTCAAATTAAATGTAAATATTGCCGACTGGTCTGGCAAAGGAATTAATGAGCTGTTGTTACTGTTTTTCCTGGCTTGATGCAAAGCAAGGTACTTGTGACACGGAAGGTTTTAGTGGTGTGAAGTTGCTCTTCGGTGACTCAAATCAATGTCTTTTGTCAGTGAGCCACTTTTCAAGCGTGATTCTAAACTGCTTTCATTGCGCCCATCAGCTCCACGGTTATCGGGGCACAGCTCCGCTGAGTCTACAGGTTTTCATCGGGACAGCCGACGAGAGGATGCTGAAACCTCACGCGTTCTACCAGGCCCACCGCATCACCGGGAAGACCGTGACTACACCTAGCAAGGAGAGGATGGTCAACGGGACCAAAGTGCTAGAAATCACACTCCAGCCTAAGAACAACATGAGAGTGGTGTAAGTCGCCTATGTAAAAATAGTTCCCAGAGACATTCAAACTTGCTGAGGTTCATTGGCCTCCTCAATGTCTGTAAGGTTGTTTAAATCAGAAGGAATGCGGCTGCGTACACCACCAAAAACATATTTTAATGTCACTGCTGATAGAAATGTAGCATGCAACACACAGAATCCTTCCTGTTTTACTGGTGGTCTTTTGTCATGTTTCCCAGGATCGACTGCGTCGGAATTCTGAAGCGGAGAAATGCTGACATTGAGCTGCGGAACGGCGAGACTGACATCGGTCGCAAAAACACTTGCGTGCGTTTGGTGTTTCGCGTTCACATACCACAACCTGGAGGCCAAGTGGTGTCACTTCAAGTGGCCTCCCATCCAATCGAATGCTGTAAGGATGTAGCAAAAGATAAGTCATTGTTGCATTGGGTGGGATCACGTCCTATATTTTTGACCTACCAGGCCTTGAAATCGAGACTTCAATTCAAGTAAAACTTGTACTGCCTATCCTATAAGGGTCCTCAGTTTATGATAGAGTTCCATTCCAAGGGCAGAATGCACTATAGTAGGGTGATGAATCGAAATGTTCTTCATATTTTCGATTCTGGCTTCCCTCAATCTTTAAAATGTGATAATCGAAGAAAATGTGCCGAACAGAGCGTGCACAAGTAAGTATCCGAAGTTGTGAAAGTACCCTGAATATGTATCGCATAGCAAGTGTGTAGCGTTTGTGATTGTGTTGCCCCTTAGCATGCTTTAAGATGTTTCATGACGCTCAGTTGAAATTTACTGTAAAACTAAACACACAACATGTTTCTACACGCTGTGTATTTAAATGCAAAACATCACTAGCGCTAATGCTAAAGTCAATGGCGGATCCGATTCATATGCTAACGCCAAATTAGCATTGACTTTGGGAGTGATAGTCCTTCAAATAACGAAACATTACACACCAACGCTGTTGAAACACATAAACACAGGTAAAATAACACGACTCAAAGGCACAAATTCATCCCAATCTGTGAAAAACGAGTTCCATTAATAGAGTTCAATCACAACCTCTTCTGTTGTCATTCAAACTACTATCCATCCAAGCATGACAACAGGCCGACCCCAATTTGTAAAAACATGCAAGAACAGCCGGTACATGTATTTGTTTTTATTTTTTAAATTTCTATTATTTTAGTATATTCTTATTTTATTGTATTAGCTCAAATATGTTTCCTCGTTGACCTTTCAAATTATATTTAAAGTTGAGTTTTAAAGGATTCAAGGAATTTTACCTTCCTCAAAATTGAAGGATTCACAGTGCCAAGGATTTTATTTATTTGTTTCTTTGTTTGTTTATGTCGTACCAACACATGGCACGGCATCAAATACAATCCCCGAGTCCTCAGACTTTTTGTAATAACATATCAGGATAAAAATAAATATGATGCAGACATGAAGGTAAGGCTTTTTAAGGCTTTAATGTATGCAAAGATGCAAGGCATCAAAGGTGTGGATGTAGAAGAATGAAAATGCAAGATTACCGTAGTTCAAAAGTTCATCTTATCTTCTTCTGTATTCTGCATTCTGATGTATTCTTTCACCAGTGTGCAAACTAGTCAATTGTGTGCTGTCTGTAACCTCGAAACATTACTCCTTGTAAAGAATGACAAACTAAGAACGCCTATTCTGGGTGTTGCTATTACTATTGTGAATATAAAAAAATTGAACTTGAAATTGTTTTTGTTCAGCCCAGCATTCAGCTCAGGAGATTCCTTTGGTGAAGACGCAGAACCTGGACCGATGCTCTGTACTTGGTGGGCAACAAATGCTCCTAACTGGGAAGAACTTCACATATGACTCGAGAGTGATTTTCTCAGAAAAAACACAAGGTCAGACATTAGTGTGAAACAGAAATATGATGTTCGGTCTTAAATCACGAGGATGTAGAGTAATAATTTGAAAACAAAAAGAACCTTGCAATTTTACTGAGCACAAACACCGGAAACGTGTCTAACCATTAAACCAGACTTCTTTTAAACGAGACACAGTAAACATCTGAAGCAAATTACAGCAAAATCATTTTTGATTTTGTTCATACAAAAAAGAACGAATGCACAACATTGCCATCCAAAACATACATTTTCAAACCGTAGGTTACAACACCTTGAACACACCCATGTTTTAAACCACGGGTTAAATATCAATGTTTATGTACTCCTAAGAAACAGGCAGATTTTTTGATAAAGATCTTGTATTGGATCTCATCAAATAGCGGAGGAGTGTAAAATTTGACATGGAAATGTTTAATCCTCCTGCATGCCGGTTTTGTGAGAATGAACCTAGCCTATTGTTGACAACTAAATGAAGAGCTTCATGGTTGCATGCGTGGGTTTCAGTCAACAGGATGTGGTAAGAAACACTAGACTTGGATTAAAAAAAAAGAAAAAGAAAGAAAGAGAGAAAGAAAGAACGAAAGAGAGAAAAAGCAAGGTCAGGTGAGTTAATCAAGTGGGCAAGTGGAACACGCCACTTAACAACAAAGCGAAGGCAGAGTTCACTGTTTCAATGCATTTGCATGCCAGCTTTCCTCTACAAGTGTATGCTCACTTCTTTCAGATGGTCAACAAATTTGGGAGGTGGAAGCAAACGCAGACCGAGAAAAAAGCCAATCTGTGAGTTTGCTTGTAGCCGCACAATAATTGCCTTCCTGACGTTCTCATGTATATTCAGCTGGAAGACGATCTTCCATAGCCTCCAACCACTACCGTTTCATCATCGAACATTTTCACTGTCCCTTCCAGAATATGTTGATGGTTGAGGTCCCTCCCTATCGAGATCGAACCATTTGTTACCCAGCCAAAGTCAACTTCTATGTCATCAATGGGAAGAAGAAGCGCAGCGAACCTCAGCATTTCATCTACACCCCCATCATAGGTACTGTATTTATTTCAGCAATGAATGGAATTGAGTGAAATACAATACATGGGTCCATGTATCCCTCATTGAATAGCAGGCCTGCAGCATCTCTTCCACTTGCCGGCATCTCAGCAGCTTTCTTTTTTGTACCCCAGACATTAAAACAGAGCCACTAGATGACTGGCAGGTGAATTTGTGTGATTACGCCGACACTCAGCTTCGGTCTGACACACAAGCCAAGTCACCCTTCCATCGGTTGGAAAAGGAGAGCAGTCTTCAATCATTCGGTGTGCTTGCATCAGATCCATGGGATTACCAACCAATTTTTTACCAGTCAAGGAGAGGCGATCTAATCAACAAACCAGATCTTTACCACGCTCAAAACTATGCTACCACTCTCCATGATAGCATCGTTAAAGCATCAACTCCTTCCCCTGTCCATACCTCACTCCATCTCCCTCAGGGTTCCAGTGTCAAAACCGAGACAGCCAAACTAAATCAAGGCCCTCAGGTGACACAAACATTCCAGGCCTATTCATCTACAAGACATCAACGTTCTGTGCAAGTTGTGCCGTCTGTATGGAAGTCGGCGCCTTCCAGATTCGTCCAAAGTGACATTTGTGTGAAGTCTTTAACCCAGACCGGCCCAAACGCAGCCAACCAGGAAGCTCGGACTCAGGAGCGGATTCCAGTAAAACAGGAGGAGCTCAGCTGTGCCTACCTGGAAGACGGTAAATAAATTCGTCTTGCACACAATGTAGTTTCAAAAGGGAACACAATGAAATCAACTAAGATGTAATCAATCGCAGCACAGCAATCACTTGCTTTATACTTCACAAATGTACCTGAAGGCATGTACGGCAGCACATTTAACCCTTTCAGGAACCGTGGTTACTACAGTGGACAGCTAACCTTGTTATCAAGTTACAGGGTGCATCAAAGGGTTAATGTTTAAGTGATTATGTTGTTATTAAGAACAAAGTCTTTTGTCATTATACTACATAGCAATAAGGTCTTACTTAGTTTGTGTAGTGGTTCCAAGAGCCAAAGACCACAAATACAAAGGAGGGACAATGATTTCTAAATGTAATCTGAAGATAACTACAAAACCTGAGGTATGTTTTTTTTTTTTTTTTTTTTTTTTGCGATCGAGTCTGCAAAGCTAGAGCAGGCGCATTGCAAGCGTTTGCTTGCAAATCCTGAGTTGTGGTCTATGAGGCCTTTTGTTTTGACTTTCCTGTCTGTGTCACTCTCGCTTTTACTAATTCTTTCACTTGTCAACTCACACTTACAGATGTGTCATGAACACTGTCTTCCCCAAGTCAAGAAAGCACCGTCATAACAAACGTTGCAAGTGCTGCAGACTGATCTTGTTGTCTGAGAACCAAAATAGTTGTTATCTTCCCTGTGGGCACAATAAAGGGAAGTACTGCATATATGCAAATACAAGTAGTCAAACCGGTGTCAAACAAAGCCGCAGTGTCTATTTAGTGTTTCAACTAGACTGGCAGAGTGGTGCAAAGTCTAATAACGTCCATCAGTGTCGTCTGTTTAATTCCTGTTCTTGAATCTTTTCAGGAATAATGTATTTTAGCAAATAAAGAAATGTGGCAAAAAAATAAACAAATAAATGAATCATTGTGACATCTGGTGGATATGAATGTAACTGCAAATATTCCAAGTTGAATATTCCTTGTGGCCTTGAACAGGTTAAACAGTGTTGAAAAAGAGTTCGAAACTCTGCTTTGGTTCGTTGTTTTGAATTCTAAAGTTGGTAATTGCTTTTTGCAGTGAATGACATCATACGAAGAGACTTGAGAGACCATCACAGTGACGCTGGAGGCCTGCGGCATCCCCGGCTTTAAGAAGAACCACAACAACTCGGGATTACGACATCATCGGGAAAAATAAATCCCACTCATCACCGACATCGTCAACTTTTGCAATGAATTCTTGATGTTGTCATCAGTGATTTTTAAGTCAGCTTACAAGTAGTTCCTTTTATCTGATTGTGATTATGTACATGTGTATTATGTATAAATGAGGAGGTGTTAAACTCCTAATAATCAAAGCATGCCTATGTGCAGTACAGGTATATTATTGTATAGTATCTCTCTCTCTCTCTCTCTCTCTCTCTCTATAGATATAGTTATAGATAGATAGATAGATAGATAGATAGATAGATAGATAGATAGATAGATAGATAAATAGATAGATAGATAGATAGATAGATAGATAGAAGAAGATTGGGCAGCTGCTTTAAAATGCTGCAGAAACCTGGTTAACTAAACTAATTTAGCCTGAAGTTGAATCAAGTGTGACAAACCTGTCTGTGAATTACAAATAATTCAAAACTGTGTTGAAAGCGAACTGGTTTTATCTCATCTGGGGTGATCTGATTCCACAGCCAGGGCCTGTCTTATACTTACTTAATGATGAAAATGATATGAGGCAAAAGACTGTTAAATAAATGGCTAAAAAGTGTTTGAATAATATTATGCTGAATATTAATGTTTATTTTACTTTATTTGTATCAGTTGCAGAGAACCAAGAAAATGTGTTTGAGGGAAACTTAGAAATGGCAAACATTTCGCAAAATGGCATGATGCATGTGACATAACCCTGAAGGTCAGTGAATTAACAGTGATGACAATTGAGGTTATACCCACTCAAGAGCTCAACAGGAAGATTGATACGATGCCTGGTGAACAGGAAGTAAAAGACACCTAGACAGTTTTAATTGCCAAAGGGAGCAAACAAAAGGCTAGCACAAAAATGGTGGCGCGGGCACCCGCAGCGGCTCCTTTTGTTATCTGTTGTCTGTTTAAGAGGGAGGAAGTTTCATCTGTGCTGTATGTGCACATTTGACAATAAAGTTGTACTTGACTTGAAAAGAGAAACCATCAAAAGGATGCAGAGACTCAGAGATACAAAGTTATCACTGAAGATTAGAGTGGCTGAAGGGACAATTATAAACTCTTGCACAAAGCCTGAAACGCTCATAAGGAAGCACGGGTCCAAAGCCACAAAATTAAGGCTACATTGACTGGGAGAGGGTCTGGCCTAAAACAAAATGGCCTAAAACGAAACACTGTCACAAGTAAGCCAAGAGTCAAAGCCAAAAGGTCACCTATTAAGGCTGCACAATTTAAAGGAATCCAGAAAAAAATCTGGCATCCAATCGGAGACGTGCATAAGGAGGCAGAAGGTCAAAGTTGCAGAACTGCCTGTTAAAACTGTGTCACAAGAACGGACCAAACTCAAATCCGGCACAAAACAAAAGACAACAAGTAACAAAAGAGTCAGATCTAAAAAGTTGCCAGTGAAGGCCGCGCCGGCTAAAGAACTCCAAATAATGACCTGCGCAAAACGAGACCCTCGCCGCCCCGAAGAAGACCGTTGGGACCAAGGCAAAAAACCGGAAGCTGATACAAGGCAAGATGCCACCAGAAAAAAGCAGCGGGTTGAGATTGAGATGGATCATGTGGCTAAGTGTAGCAGCACACAATTTGGCACAACCCTCAAAAGGGAAGAGAAAGGCAAACCAACTGAAGTGTCGGTGAAGGCATCGAACGCGACCAAATGTAAAGACAGCACAAAACCAGACAGCCTTCAAAATGAAGCAGAGGATCAAAGATACGACGGTTTCGACTGAAGCTTTACAGAAGAAAGGCAACAAGAAACAATGGGTCACAAAATCTGATACAGTACTTTTATAAATCACCGGATTGACTCAAGTGTCTGAGAAAGCAGTGCCACCTAGTGGAAGTTTGGCAGACAAAGAAACTGGAGTGCATGCTAAGAATGTTTGTGTCGTGCTTGTCTTCCTACAGACACCATATTAAAACAAAAAATATATTTCCCTCCCCAATCTTTTTCGATTTTCAAACATTTTTGAAAAAGGTCCAGGGAGCCATTAGGGCGGCGTTAAAGAGCCGCATGTCGCCGACCCTCTGTCTATGCAGATCACAGGAAAACGGATTATAATCCAGTAAATAGGAGATTTGCACTGTATTTACCCTCTACAAAGACACGATATGGTTGTTCCCAATGCTAACCAAATGTATCCTGAAGGTGATGATTAAATACATCTCCAAGGCAAAGGTGAAAAATGTCCCATTGGTGAGTGGTGTATTTGCTGGCACGGACTATATTTGCCTTTATTCTTCCTCATTTCGTTTTTTAAAAATTTCTTTTTACATCTGCACTGTCTAAATGTGATCACTGGAGCATAAATGGAAAGTTGCAGAAGGTCCCCCTGGAGGCCATCTTTATGCTGCAAGCATCCAGCACAAAGAACTCGGATGAGAAATCAGCAGTTATATCACTGGTGGAAATATGCGAAATAACTTGTTCTGATTATGGAGAGGCCAGATTCAAATGTATTTATTTAATTGACTCTTTTGGGCTTCCTTGCAAACATTACAGGTATAATCCATGCAAGCAAGCTCGCTTCCTTTGTAAAATACCAACCAAATAAAATACTAAAGCAACATTTAAATACAACAAACAAAAACATTGAAATAACAGTCCGTGACAAACACAAGCGAAGTGACCGTGAAACACAATTCTACATCCCACCATTAGAGGACGACATTTGCAAACTAAACGACAACCAGACAGCCAACAACAAACCGGAAATACGTTGGAACGTTACGCCACTTCCTGTGAAAAAGGATTTGTTGTATTTTCATCTGTGGGCCAACTTTTCTCAAAATTGCTTTGTGTTCTGCGAGTTTTCGCTTTCCCGCGTTTTCATCCTCAATCTATTTGGAACAAAGATCCATTTTCACAGTTCTGGTAAGCTTTAATTGATGAGAGTATTACATTGTAAACGCAGATTTGTTGCGTTCAGGGGATAGTTAGCAGCGTCGTAAACTAGCATTGATTGGACATTGACAGCAATTTTTGACATTTGGTATCGATTTTGGTCTTATATTGTTCGGCAAATAGGTCAGGAATGTAGTGGAAATGTTTTATCTTATCACGATCATACACCTTTTTCCCCAAATCAGAACAATATTCCCGCTGGTGTTCAGGATTCTTAATAGTCTTTCTCGTCACATCGTGCAATTTCATTTACCGCAGCCTCTTTGTTGCGTTCGGGGTACTCTTGGTAGCGTCGTAATTTACTTCCCACAGGACAACGTCTAAGCATACGAATGTATTTTTTAACAAACATGACAAAAAAATAAACATACTTGTCTATTTCGAATTCATCTGCATTTTTAATTGAGTTTAGTTTCTGGTGTCCGGGAATCTGTGAAGTTTTTCCGATGTGTTCCTTAGGTTCCCGAAGGCAGCAAAAATGTCTGCAGAAATGGACCTGTCTCCCCCAGAAGTTCCTGAACCAACTTTTCTCGAGAGCCTCCTGCGCTATGGCCTCTTTCTTGGTGCCATCTTCCAGCTCATCTGCATCCTGGCAATCATTGTGCCCACCTCGAAAGGGCACGAAAAGGTATGAACATGCTTTTTTCTACTCTCGTACGGATGTGCAAACACAAGTTAACCACTTTCAAATGCTGTAGAGGTTAAAAAACATTGAGCACAATAAGTTTAAGGGTAAATATAAAACAATTCCATGTAGAGTATAGTAAAACAGATAAACTTTGCCTGACGAACACACACTACTTTAATGCTAACATACAATGCAGAATTCGATAGATGGGCTAATGAGACATCAGCATCAATGTTACGGTAATTATAATCCTTAAAACAACTTACATTTGAAAGACAAATGCCAAGTCAAGTCAAATTTATTTATATAGCCCTTCATCATCAGAGTCTGAGGGGATTGACAGATAGTTGACAAACCTTAATGACATCCCCTGAGCTTAACTTCCAAAAAGGGCAAGGAAAAACTCCAAAATCCCATATGTACAAACCTTGAGAATCCCCCTTCCAGGATCATCAGGCAACAATGGATCCCGAGTGAGCAGCTATTAACAAATATTGTGGTGTTATACTGGAACAGCGTAAGAGTCCATTTAATAACATGAAGCGCTGCAGGAGGACACCTGCGGAGAAGTGGTATCACTTCATGCAAGACGGAGCACACAACAAAAATTAAAGGCATATGTTTTTTAACCATTCATCCATTATGCAAACTGCTTATCCTCACAAGGGTCGTGGGCGTGCTGGAACCTATCCCAGCTGTCTAGCAGGGACCATACAGACACACCTCCATACAAACTCACAATCACACCTTGGGACAATTTAGAGTGTTTAATTAACTGACCAATGCATGCAAAAAAGGACTTATAGTTGAGAAGATTATCTGTTTCATCATCAAATCTCCATCCATCCGTTATCCTACTGTCTGTATGTATTGTACTGCCCCTCGTGGCCAATGTGTGCACAGCAGAACAGCACAGTGCCCTCTGAATTATCATGATGCACAAACTGTTGATATTCTTCATAGTCTATTAAATTATTATAATTGTATGTTTTTATAAAGCACAATACTGTAAAGAGCTATAGCTATATATATATA